GGTATACTTTTTCCTCAATTAAGGAAAGTCCAGTTCGCTTACTGGAAATTGCAATTTCAGTTTTTTCGCATAGTCCAGGGGGCCGTCCAAGTATTTTTTCATCCCTATCCTTTTTTTAAATTTCCCGTATTTCTCCAAGTGGTTTTCGTTTGGTCCCTTTTTCCGAAGGGTTGTTTCCTCCCTACTTTTTAGCTTCTCCTTGACTTTCTTTTTGGGGGGGGGGGGGGGAGGGGTGCTAGCCTACACTAGCAGAACGCAGTACGAGTGGCGATACGTGGGGCGTTGTAAGTGTGGTGCGAATGAATGCCAAGCCCACGCAACGCTTGTTTGGCCTCGAACGCGGAGCTGGGGTAATGACGGCGCCTTGTGTGTTGACGGCGACAGGCTTACTCGGATAGCTCAACCTCGAGGAGTGCAGAAACGAGAGACTTCCACACATACATACATACACCAAATCCATCTTGTAGAGCCCCTTTCCCTTACGAGTGCCCGTGGTAAATGGGGAAGACTCCTCAACGGCGACGGGCATGTGGCACTCAACTCGCGTACAATAGTGTCTTCAATTCAGTATAACGTGAACCACCCTATTGTGAAGTAAATATTGATGCTCTGCTTTCCTCGCAGACGCTCTGTGACAATGTACCCAACCATGACAGGATCGTTTGAGCCGGGCCCACTACCTCGTTCGCACGAAAAGCAGGGCATCAACATGACTGCACAATGGTATGCTGCGCGTGATATTGAATTGAAGACACTACACGAGTGTCACATGCCAGTCGCTGTTGAGGTTTCTTCCCCATTTAACACGGGCACTCGTAAGGGAAAGGGCATCTACAAGATGGATTTGGTGATCCCCCTAGGAATACATGCAGGAGGTATAGAAGCGAAACTCTGCACCGAGTCCATTCTTGTAGATGTCACAATGGTCAACCCATGTGCAAATCGAAGCGTCGACAAGTCGATCCAAACACCAGGATCCGCCCTCGAAGATCGAGCTGCAAAAAAGGCAAACAACTATGGGGGGACGTTCAACCCGTCTAGATCTGCCCTCCTTACTGCTGCCTCTTCAACGTATGGTGGTCTTGGCCGAGCAAGGAAGGCACCAATCGGTTAATCGTAGCTATTCCCACCACCTGGCCCACGAAGCATTTTGCAGGGGGAATCTCGACCATGAAACAGCCTTGCTTCACCTGAATGCTTCCCATACTAACAGAATTCGGAGACGGTTTGCCTTCGAGCTGGCTCATTTTCTGTCGGTACGAACTCGTGATATTTTCAAACGTCATCAACTACCGATCGACCAATTTCCACCACGGCCAATAGGTTGGGAATTCAGTACTAGTTTTGGTGAAAGCGATAACGATGATGAAAGAAGGGGAAAGGAATGAAAGGAGAATGAAGGCGATGATGAAGGAGGGAAACATGGCGTGGAAGAGAGTTAAGGGCGAGAGCCACATGACCTTCCTCACAACAAACGTTGCAAGACCGGAGAGGACCTGCCAAAAAGCAGTGGGAATACTGGCAGCAAGAGTGGCGGTAGTAAATGCAGAGAAGAAGATGAAAAACAATGCAAAACGCACGTGCACCACAAGTATTACCGTATATGACACAAGATAACACACCCCCTTGACCGTTTTTCAAAGCTCGATTTCTCAACAGCAGGAAGACTCACAGCGCCGAAAACGGCGGCGTTGGAACCGTCTCGTTGAGATCTTTTCGAAAATGTATCATTTCGTTTATGTATCCTGTTCGTCATCGAGTAATCAAGCTTTGAAAATCGGGCCAGGGGGTGTGTTATCTTGTGTCATATACGGTAGTAGCAGCCATGGCAACTACGTGCAGTCTTCTTATTGCTACGTACGGTATCTGTCTTTAATCCAAGTAGCGTAGATTCCCCCATGACGCTCGGTCACACGGTCCCAGATCGTGGCCTAAGTTAGACATTTTATGTTTTCCACGGCACTGAGACTGAAGTATTTTCATTGGTCAGCCGGATAGCGCGGTCGACGCTCATAAAAAAGACAAAAAACACACAACACACCTGCGGCGAACCGTTGATGTAAGAGCATCCCTCCAGGATGGAAGCGCACGCGAAAATGGTGGAAGGGGATACCTGGTGAACAAGGCACACGCGCAAGAAAGAGAGGGGGGGGAATTGAACTTTCGGGGCGATGATGCACGCAGCAGGCGCAATCTGTGTGACTGCGGTGTGAACGTCTCGTCCACGGCGCCCCTTCGGGGGTGGGGGGGTGGGGGGGATTGGCGCGGACTAGAAAACCTTTGCTCCTTTTCGTCTGTAACCCGTGCCCTCAACCGATGCCCAGACCGTAAGAAAAACACGCACACACTTCTTACAAACGCCCGCATGTTCAAACGATCCCTTGGATGTCGAAACACGACTCCTTTCGTTTTTCAAAGGGTGAGATTGTCTTTCGGGTCTCTTCCTCTCGCCTAATAAGCACTGCCCGAGCACATGCGAGTGTTTGTGCTTCAGGGAACGTGAAAGATCTCCGGAACAGCGTGAGCGAGTGTGATAATTTCTTCCCTTTTCTCTCTCTCTCTCTCTCTCTCTCTCTCTCTCTCTCTCTCTCTCTCTGTGTGTGTGTCTCAGTCCAGCAACACTTTTAACTATCTCTATTTCTCTTCATCTGTCTGTCCGTCTGACCTCTTCCTCGCCGCGGGTGATGGAGGCGAGAATGTTCTCCTTGGTGTCGTTGATGCCCGGCTCCAGCGCCGAGAATCTCTCCGTGTTGGCGGTCCACAGCACCACAACCTTGTCCAGGTTGTTCTTCTCCTTGAACTCGCGGATGTCCTTGCGGATCTGCGGTTTCGCCGCCATTACGGCACGCAAAGTGTTTCCAGAGTCGTGGCTATCAGCGGGGGTTTGATTGGTTAGTGCCATCCCGGCCCGAGCGTTAGATGATACCACTCTTGTGGACTTGTGGTGTCATCCAATCGCCATGCGAAGCTTTCGCTTGGTTGTATCATCCCAGTGTTTGGCATACGCGGACGTCCGTATAGCTCTGCTACAGAATACACCAAGCTTTCTTGATTTCGGGCTCTTGATCGTGTGAGAGAGGTTCGGGTTTTAGATGCGTTTCAACCGCGCTGTCTTGGTCTGTTCATCAACATGGTGGGCTGCACTAACAGAGGCGACGGTAACAAACAACAACAGCAGCAGCAGCCACGACGACACCACCACCACCACCACCACCAGCCACAACAACAACAACCAACAAGAACATAACCAACAAGAGCACCAACAGCACGCAACCACACCCCCACGCAATACCCACCCCAAGCAACAACGACGACACACACCAGACCCAACGACGACACACACCTGATCCATCTGCTCCTGCTTGGTGCCAGTCAGGACGTTGTCGGCGCGCTCCGACTGGTTGGCCGCGATGAAGTCGGGGAAGTAGATGGACGGCAGGGGCTTCTTGTCCACCATCATCGGCTTCAGCTTCTGCTGCAGGTCGTAGTCCTGTTTTTGGCCGACAACAACAAAAACCATGCCGCAGTACCCGCCAAGCAATCAGAGCACATACACACACACATTACAACATTCCCAAGCACCCTTTGGAAATAAGGGAGCCTCTACAGCACTATAATACAGCAGTTTGGTAGTAGTCCCTGAACAAGGCAGGATATTGTGGTGGGAAGGGATTCGTCTGAACTGGCGAGGTTAGGGACAGCCTACCCTAACTACTGTGCTCAAGTTCTCTACAACAATATGAGCACACACGAACGTGACTAAGAAAGACGAACACGATTTTTATCCCGACAAACAGAAAAAAAAAAGAAAAAGAACCAGAGCGGAGGCTTTGACCATGTCGCGTCGTGATCTTTCGTACTTGTGGGGGTCACAATTCCATCCAGACAGAAAAAAAACGCACCAGAACGGAGGCCTTGACCATCGCATCGGCCAGGTTGTCGCTGCAGATGTCCCAACCCCCGAGCACGAAGTCGTTGGGGTGAGCGGTGGGCAGGAGGTTCCGCAGAGGAACGTTGACCGCATTGCCGTTGGAGTCGTTGCCGAGACGAACGGTGGAGGCCATGCACAGGGACCCCCAGTAATTGGCCTTCTTCTCGCCTTCCTGTTGTAGAAAGAAGGACACGCAAAACCGGGATATTAGTAGCAAGAAAAAAGTTCAGACAGCAGTACTTGCTCGCATAAGAGTTACCGGCAGTCGACTCGAGGCACCAAGAGCAGTAGCGGTGCAAAAGGAAACGAAGAAGGACCAACAAATTTTGAGAACGAATCGAAGAGCGTTCAAAGTCCCGGCGACAAAATAGCAGGCATCCAGAGGAGCCGAATTAATGGTTTTAAAAAGAGCAGGCCACTAGCGTATTATAGTAAGCGACGAGAAAGATAGAAGTTGTGCCCGTTCGCTGAACACTGGTACGGAGACATCCACTGCCTGACGCCCCCTTGCCCTTCAACAGAAGATAAACATACTGGTCAAAACAGGTCCATGGTTTTCCCAATCATGAAAGTTTTGCATGAACACAAACATTCTCGGGTGCAGGCCTAGAACCCACCCCTCAAGGAAGAAAGTTTGTGGAAAAAATCAAAACACAAGTTCCAAGTTGTGTAAAGCTCCTCGCCTATTCTCGTGTCTCGTATATTCCGTCCCCGCGCTTGAAAAACAGGACAAACAAAACAACAAGACAAAACTTTGAAGGCGCTTGGGTACACAACAATGCACCTGGTTGGGATTCTACGGCCCCCCCCTTACCCCCCCGCCAAAAAAATAAATTGATGACCAGCCCAGCTTTTTCCTTGTGAAACGCAGCCTGAGCCTATGACAACCCGGCATATCGCTCCGTCCCGGCACGCGTTTACATGAGTACACCCCGCCCCCCTCCGAGACTGTTTGAGAAAATTTCATGTTGTGTGCTACCGCTGTCGACTCGCCTTCGTGTTCCAAGTCAGGCCGTGCTTATTGGCCAGGATTCCCGCGGCGACAGTGCTGCCGTTGTTGCCGCCGAGCCCCACGAGCATCACGCCCACCTTGGGCACCTTGGTCTGCGTCTTGAAGTAGAGCGTCTCGCTCTTGGGGGTGACAACGTTTCCCTCCACGAGAGTAGTCTGTCGCATAGGGGGGGGGGAGGTTGGGAGAAACAGCTAAAGAAATGACGAGCCAAACTACTGGATGACTGGGTCATGTGGCCTTGGTACAGGAAAACCGATGAGGGCAAACCGCTGTACCAAGGTGTCGAGCACAAAAATGACACGCTGGTGCTGCTGGTTGGAAACTTCCGTGCCTCTTCTGCCCGCTGAGAAAGAGCGGAGCAAAATAATCGCGCGGTTTAGGGTTCGGGGGCGCTACCGTACGGCCGTGCATGTACTGCTGTAACGTGGATGTGTTGGCGCGAACGCATACCCCCATGATCATGAACAGGATTCGCGAGCAACACAACGTGTTTCCCCGCCCCTCTCGTAGGCGTCAATCCAAAGCGCGCAAAATTTCACGTCTGTTGGTTTGACTACCGCGTCGGAAGTGAGGTATTCTGCTGCTGGAGACACCGCGAGCATCGCGACGACTGCGAGCACGATGGCTAGGAACCCTGAAGGACATGCAGCATACAGTGTATCCCGTTCGAATGTGGGTTTGTCTCGAACGGGTAGTCTTTCTGTGTGTGTATTTATTTTTCCTAACACAGCAGTACATCCGTGCGAAAAGCGTCTTCATTGCAAAGGCATGTCCAGGAGGCCTGCAAGACTGACTGCTGTCATGCGATGCGATGCGATGCGGCATGAAACCACCGGTGGTGTGACCGCCGTTTGACCGCACACCTTGTGGACACAGCAGCAGTCCGGTCTGCTGTCTGTCTCTCTCTTTCCAACGGTCACCCGCGCTGCATGCATGATTTGGTTGATCCATACGTACGCAATAGCCCTTCGCTGAAGCTATGGATGCATTGCTAATCTATCTTAGACTTCTTTCTGTAGATAGAGATGGATTTATTGTGTCATAGCAAGAAAAAAAGGAAGAAAGATACGCTCCAAACTCCAAACCATTGAAAATTGAACTTCAATGTTCTAGAAACTCTTCGGTAGATACGGTCCGCATCTGGAAAAAACCGACCGCAGTGAACCCTCAAACTGCAAACCCACACAACCACCACTGCTGCGTGCCTTTTCCTATGGTTGTTCCTGTGCGGGCAACGCGGGGGAGACCGAAAGGCCGGGTGTGCCCACCGTGTGCATGACTCATAGCGGGGGCTGGCAAAGTACGTGCGCCGTCTATTTAGTCCAGAGAACAATAAAAAAGATGCGCAGCTGGTTGTATGCGTAGATGCGTCGATGTAGGCAGGCACTCGTTACGCGGCTGAACGACGTCGGCAACGGGCAACAGCGAGATAAGAGCGTGTTTACCTCACACCCGTAAGCTTCCTTCTCACTGAAAACATAGACAGGATGGCCATGACACCGTCGTAGCAGTGGCGAGCGGGGGGATGGCCGACATGTAACATGTCGACGACGCTATTCGTAGCAAGTGCGCGTGGACGGCCCTGCTGCTGCTGTTGCCATTGCCGACACGTGGTGAGCTCGCGCGTTTCAAAAAAAACTTTCAAAAGAAGAGGCACACGCAAAGCTAGCTGCACAAGGGCTAGCACCGACATACGTGACGGTGTGCCTCAACTACTCTTGCGATTGAGGCAGCAAAGAGAGGATTTTGATGGTGGGACACTCGTTCTGGAACAAACACCCAAAAGATACCACCTGCTGAACGCTCTGGAACAAACGGGATACGACGTGGCGCGCGCGAAGCTCTGTTCTCATGAAAAGAACAACGAAATCAAAAGCGAGGAGGCCGTATACCTGGTACGTGTACTTGGACACCATCTCGTCGTCGGTGTAGGTCACGTCCGGGCTCCGCACCACGAATGGCTTGTCGTTGAACGTGGTAGAGGTCATGTTCTCTCCGCTGTCTTTGCTGCTTTGCTGGATGTGACGATCGATGTGACGAGGCTTCTCCTGCAGGGCAGGCTTGCTTACTGCTGTTATGTAGAGGTGAAAAACGTGAAGGTTCTCTCTGCCGGCGAAAAGTAAGTTGCTTTGGATATCCTGAGGTGGTGAGCAGCACCAGCAAGATGATCACGTGTGGGGGTTGATGGCGAAAGCGCAGTGACAGAAGGTCAGCAGAAGAGATGCAATGCATGGTGCAACAAGATCGGCGCGGGGGCACTGCACACCGGGTTAGGGTGCAAGTGGCGTACCCATTGAGTACCAACCTTTGCCCTCCTGGTTTCTCCGCGTGTGTGCTGCTGCGGTCCTGCTTGTGTGTGTCGCACAACCAACGCAAGAGCGCTGTGTCACGTGTCACCGGTTGGAATGCGACTTCATCGGTGCTTCGCGACTGGCGTGTATATGGCAGCTCAGAACTTATTTTACCGAGGAGCTGCGTTCAGAGGGTAGGTACGGAATTCACATTTTCTGTGTACAAGAGCTGACGGTTTTGGGGGTCGACAAAGGTACATATACACATTTTCCTTGACGTTGGGTACATACGGCGGTAGCGCGTTTCTGACAGACCTGCTGCCTTCCGTCACTGCACTACTAGAGCATTTCAGCCGCAGGTCATTGAACTTCGGCATGACCCTTTTGGAGCTACCGTACGGATCTACGGCTGCCTTTTCGTCATCGCCGCACGTTTTGTATCTGTCTGGTGCGCGCGCACAGATCCTCGTGTCTGACCCGATTTCTGCAGTAGACCGCCTACTACTGTTGTAGATGTACAGCGTATCTGTGAATGTACATGTAGTGACATGGTTGTATATAGGACGAGAGGCGTGCTACATCATGCATAGTACACGTCTAGACTGATCGACACCCCCCCACCTCCATGTTTGTCGGCGAACTGCCCAAGAATCGCGTGCGAGGTCCACTACTACGTACGCGTACCGTGAAGGGCTTACCCTTCCCCATCCCCCCCCCGGTGTTTGTCGCCAGCAGGCTTGGCAGCGGTAGCTGCAGCAACGGACTGCGCGCGGGTTGGCTCGCAGGCCGAGTTAACCACCACCACCGCCACCTCCACCTCCTCGCAAACCCCACCGCAACAAGCGCCCGCAGAAGAATAAGCAGCAACATGATGACCGGTAGTAGCAGACCACCAGCATCCGCCGCCGACCCACGCGGCCGAATACACGAGCTCGCGACCAGTACCAGCAGCGGCGAAGACGGCGGGTCCGGCCGAAGACGCAGCAAGTCCCGCCGGCGTCGGCGCTCCCGCAGCGAGGACGAAAAGGACGGGCGGCAGGCGGGCAAGGCCGGCGGGGACGGCTCGCCGCCGAGGGGGGGGGGGGCCCCAACCCAAACACAAACCCAAACCCTAA